CGCAAGAAGCCCAGAAGCAAAGAAGCCGAGAAGCCGCGAAGCCGAGAAGCCGGGAAGCCAACAAGCCGCGAAGCCGACAAGCTGGGAAGCCGAAAAGCTAGGAAGCGGAGAAACCAAGAAGCCGGAAGCCACTAAGCCAGGAAAGCAACAAATTGCCTTGTAAGTCTCCTTTTTAATTTTTTTGATCCTCTGTAAATTTGTTTTGATCCTTTTTAATTTTTTTTTTGACCCCTCCCCTCATGTGAAGATGCAGAGAGGCATCAGAGCTGCTACGACGCTGCTCCTTCTTCTCCTTCTTCTCCTTTTTCTCCTTCTTGTCCTCGGATACTCTCACACAAGTAAGTGGGCGTGCACGCACTGCTGCAGGCTGCAAGTGCTCCCTGCTCGCCACTGGTCGTCGGGCCTTGTCCTTCTTCTTGCCGCCGGTGATCTTCCTTAGAGATCCCGATCTGCTACATGCGCTACGAGCAGCACCGGCAACTTGAGTCGAGCATCTCCCAGGTCAGCTTCACGCCATCCCAGCCTATGCCGACCACGCAGATGGCAAGGAGCGACCACCTTGGCCAGCGGCCAAGGGAGAGAGAGAGAGCGAGATTCCGAGGCCTGTCTCCCCGAAAAAACGCCAAGGACTGCGCAGCACGCCCTTCATCTTTGGATTCGCTGCCTTAGTGTTGGCCGAGAAGGGTAGAACTGCAACATACTCTGGAATCTTTGAATTAAGTGGGACACCTGCTCGCATCCACAGCCTCGGGCCCAGCAGTCCTGCATCCGACACGCCCGGAGCCTCTGATTCCCGCTTCTTGGACGGAGGCCTTAATTACTTCGTAATTCTCGGCAGTGATGGGCACTGAGAAGTTGCCTGAGTGTGAGCGCGAGAGCACGCAGGTAAGCTCAAACAGTCCCCGCACCGTCTTCCAGCTCTATTTCGATGGGCTCGCCTTCACCTCAGCCGCGGTCCAACAGGAGCCTCTCCACTCTCCAATCTGCGCTCCACGAGACTCTATGACTCTATCGCTCTTGCGCAAGGCTTTTGCAAAAGCCGAGGTGCTCTTGGGCCACTCCTGCGCCGCAACGCAACGCGACGAAAAAGTGTCTGTGACGCATCCGCGGACTCCCTGCTCCTCCCAACCGCCCACGAAGTAGACGGCACTGAGCTCCTGCGAGCGAAGACGTCGAGTCACTGAAGAGCTCGCGGCTCCGTGGCTCTTGAGGCCAAGGAGTCCTCGGCGACTCTCCGCTTCCACTCCCCCGCGGCGCCGCAGGTCCTCTTCAGCGACAAAGGCGCGAACCTAGCTCCGCCCCCCCCCCGGCGCCCAAAGGGCCCAGCCAAAAGTCCTGGAAGCTGCAAACAGAGCCGTTGTGTTGGCTCCACCTGCCCAAAAAAAAACTCCCTCCGCCCCTCAAGCTACTGTTGAACCGTCGCTGCTGGCCTACACTGACGATTTTTCTGCACTTGTCGTCCGTGTCGTTGAACTTCACGAAGATCTCTCCCTGCACCTGAGAAAGGCGGGGATCTGTGCAGGAGTTACCGTGCCCTTGCCTCGGGCACACGCAATGCAGAACGCCCTGAACGGCGAGAGCTGGTCGCCTGCAGCGGGCAGTCCGCAAATCCCGATTGCCATGCCGGTAAAAAAAAAAAAAAAAACTGCAGCATCCAGAAGCCGATCACCAGGAGAATGGTGAAAGCTGGGTGCGGTGCTCTTGGGGCAGTCAGCCCGCTTGGCCCTCGCAGAATCGATGCTGCCCCTCCCTCCCAGGCCCCAAGAGATCCCCATTCAGGCGCAGGCGGCTGAGCTCCGCTTTGGCCCTTGTTCTTGGCATCCTTCATCTGGTCGAAGATGTCCTAAAGGCAGCCACATTTGGGCCAAAGGGCGGGAAAGGCCCAAGATACTGGAACCAAGGCCTTCTTCATCCCGGGTAGCTCGCTGCCTCAGCCGGCTTGGGACGGACGCAACCGCAGGAAGACGGATAACGAGGAACCGGCGTCCACCATCGGTGGTCTGCGCGACCACATCAGATACATCGTGGACCAGCAAAGCCAAAGGCAGCCATCTAAGGCCCGCAAAACGCATCCTGCACTCGCAGCAATCCTGTGCAAGAGCAGGCTCCTAGCTGCTCTCAGCAATGGGCCTCCACCAGACAGCCGAGTGCTGCGGCTGCCTCTCGCTATCAAAAAGGGCCGCAAGAAACCCCTTTAAACAAACCGTTTTCAAAGCGCCTGCGGCGGGATGCAGGGCCCCAGAGGCCAGGAGCCCAGAAACCCCCTCACTGCCGAGCTTGAGCAGGCAAGAAAGCAAGAGAGGCAAGAATGGGCCTGGAGCTTCAGGTCTTGAGAAACGGATATGACACTGTATGCATGTATGCAATCAATGTATTCATGTATGGTTCCGCGACACATGCCAAAGCGAGCGCTTTTTCCCAGGTCTGCTCATTTCTTGAATCTAACATCCTGCGCTTCTCCTATAAATCTAACTACCGCGCAGCTCCTACGAGGTCTGAAGCCAAAATGAGCCCGGTTGCCGGAAAGGCAGTTGTCTGTCAGGACGCAGTTGAAGCCGACCTTGACTTCCTGCTGTCGTTTGGGCTCGAGGGATTGCGAGGAAGAGGGTTGTCGCAAAAGCACTCAATGCGAGACTAAGGTGGGCTTTAGAAATCTAACTCCCGCGCAGCTCCTACGACTCCTGCCTGCTCCATTCGCCGTGATAGCGGCTCTCAAGTCTGATTGCGCCGGCTTTTGGCCTCGTGCGAGAGAAAACTCTGGGTGCGCGGACTCCAGGCCCTGAAGGCCCGCCTTGGGCCTAAAGACTATGAAGTCCTTCCCGGTCAGAGGCGGCCTACGAACGCAACCGAATCCGTCTGAGCTCCACACATCACTGAACCTTCTCCGGCCTCTTTGTCTCCGACTTCGACGACTGCGACGACTGCGTCGTGTCCAGTTGCGGAGGCCTTTGTGCCGGCATCCCTTTGGGACGTGTTGCTTCTGCCTTGCGGGTCAGCAGTGGCCAAACCCCCAGCTTCGGTGGACCCAAATGACCAAACGGACCTCGGCAGGAGGTGCTGGGCGAGAGCTGGCCGTGGCGGCCGCCTCCTGCTCTTCAGAGTCTCTCAGAAGCTGCGCGGAGCTTCTCAAAACGGCCTGTGAGCTGCGCTCGTGGCTGCGTTCGAAGGAGGAGTGCCGCGCCCTGAAAAAACCACGACTCCCGCGTCAACGCGACGAAATGCACGAGACGAGACAATGCGAGACGCAGGTCATCTTGCGCCTCGTCTGGTCCCTGCTGCGGCTTCGATCCGTTCTGCGACCTGTGCCGGAGCCATACGGAGTCAGAGCTGACGGCTGGCTTCAACAGCAGGGACACCAAACGCAATCGATGCAGAGACCAGCAGCCAACCCATGAGATCGGATACCACCAGATTACGGGTGAACGATGCAGGTACCTTTCACCCAGTTATATCGTTCTGCAAGCAGCATCGGCTACGCTCTCACCCCCCTCCCGAATGCGCCTGCTGCAGAGCTCCCGCGGTCGTCTCGTCCATCCCGCCGATCATCACGTCGGTCGTCCCTTCGGTCCTCCCTTCGATCCTCCCGCCGGTCCCTTGAACGGCCCCGGCGCTCGCGCTCGCGAGCCTCGCGCTCGTCCCTCCTGTCTCGCCGGTCACCGGATCGGCGTCTCTCCTGGCTCCAGGAGGGCACAACGGCTCTGAAGAATGCGGGAAAGTCACTGCGGCAAGCCCCTTGCCTCCGGGGACCTTCTCCTCCGGCTCCGCGACCTTCTGGTCTCGGACTTCCTCGCAGGCACCAAGAGGATGCAAAGAACTGGACCTGACAGAAACTGATTTCCAGGAGATGCAGCTTTGGTAGCCTTCGACAGGCTCCATCATTTTTTGTTTCAAGTGGACGGCCTGTCAGAACAGATTCCTGGGCTCTGTAGAGCTCTGCGGCTCGATGCGGCTCGCCGCATCGGGGATCTGTTGCTCCAGATTAGTGTCTTCAATAGTCACCCATTGGTCCAGTTCTGGCTGTTTGATACTCCGATCAAAGTCCCAGGAGTCCCATATGTTTTGGCGTCTCAGACATGTCCGCTGTACTCCGGTCAGAGTCCACACCTCGCGGCCTTTCTTTTGAAGCATCGGTCCAGCGATGCGAGCGCTTAGTCCCGTTCCCTCGTCTTTCGTCCTTGGTTTCTTCGGTTTCTTCGCGGCCCCCGGCCTGGCGGCTGCTCCGCGCCGGACGCTGCGTCGCGCACTGCGATGTCCAGGGACGCTTCGATTTCTGCCGGTGTTTCGTTCCTGGGTTTTTTTAGACTCCTCCGGCACACGCGGTGCGCCCTAAACCCGTGCATGCAGAGTCCAGCGGCCTGCTCGTCAACCGCTCTGCCAGCTTGTCCGATCGGTTCACGTAGTCTGTCACCTCGCATCACTGACACTTTGGATTGAGGCTTTGTTCGAGCTGCGGATATCCAGGGCTGCAGCCTTGGTCCTTGCAGCCAGGATTTCTCGCAGATCGTTGCCCTTGTACTGCTCCAAAGTAATAACCTACATTCGAACACTCGAGGACACCTCATGGCCCAAGCCTTGTGCGGCTCATGCACCCTGCCTGCATCACCAGCTGGCTCCCTTTCACATATTGCCGCTGTGCCTCCAGCTGCCAAAAACAGAATCTTCTCTTTTGCGTGCATGAGCATGACAATGCATGACATCTACCAGCTTGTCCTTTGTTCTGCATCGTTCACGACCGCTGAAGAGTCTCTCCGTCAGCCTGCCTCGGCCAGATTTCCTTTGGCCTCGTGGCGCTCGCCGTCCTCGAACATGACATCGGCCTCCCGCAGCTTCTGCCGGTGCTCCTGGGGGGGTGGGGGGGGCGGAGGCGGGGGGCGAAGTTTCCGTCAACAAAGAAAAAGGCGCCTCGGCGACGGTGACCACCGGTGCCGGGACCGCTGGCACCTCCGGCGCCTCGGCCTTCGGCTTCGGCTTTCCCTTGCTCCTCGCCTCCTTCGCTTTCGTCTCCTCCTTCTCCTCTTTCTCCTCCTTCTCCTCTTTCGGCTCTTTCGGCTCTACAGCTCCGCTCTCGTTGGCCAGCTTCTTCAACCTCGGAACTAACACACACATGCTTGCCTTGTTTGGAGGCGCAGCCAGAGCCAGACGATGCCAGGGGGCTCATAAGCCTCGTCGATGTAGGCGTTCACCCTGTGCTTCAGCTCTGCGTCGTCCTCTGCCGGGCTCTCTGCACAGGGGCCCTAAACAATTCCTCAAAGGAGGATGTCGGTTAAAGTCCTCCTCGGTCTGCACCAGCTCGACAAGGACCTTAATGCCTCAGGTGTGCGCAGCGCTCAGGCATGCAAGACTCGGACATGCCCGACTAGCGCGCCTTTTGTAAAGCGATTCAGGGCCTGGTGCCAGGCAACGTCTCGCAAGTTGGATTCCGGGGTCTGAAATCACGGCTTGCACAAGCACCGAGCCTTTTTGTACTGCTTCTGTTCTTTCAGCTCCCTTCCCTGTGCCAGCAATGCCTTCCAAGCACTTGGTATCTGTACCACCCCCTCCCAGTCTGTCCCGGATGTGTGTCTTTCTCAGCCAAGTCTGGGCGTTCGCTCCAGGTCTCATCAGCGGTGAAACCAGTCCATCAAATTCTCTTACAGCCCAGGTTTTGAAGCCCTACAGACAGTGGCAGAGGCTTGGCTTCAGGCTGCAAGAGCTTGCAGAAACAAGCTCGGCTTGCAGGATTCCGAACCGGTCCCTTGCATTGCGTTGGCAAGGCTAGAGCGATTCATGGGATCAGATCCCATGGGCCCTCATGGGCCTGAGCCACTCCCTTACGTAACAAAACCCATACCTGAAATCCTAGTGTAAGTCCAGGCCTATAATACTGTAGGCCTACCTGCGCGGTTTATGTTGCGGCCCCACAAACTGGACAGGGAGTGGCACAAAACACGGGGGGTTCACTTCGAACTCTCTCTTAGACAAAGACGCCCTGCAGCCTCCACATCTTGAGATGCTTCTTGTTCCTAAAGGTTGTTTCTAGATCATGAGTAATCTGAAGGTGGCGCCACTAAAGAGACCCCCGCAATTTCAGGGGCTGTAGCCACCAGCGGTCCGGAAGCACTGCGAAGGGTGGACTTAAGTGGAGGTGCGTATCATCGTAAAAACCTGCAGGGAAAGTAACGCATCAGCGTCCGAGGGCCAAATGGAGTGCAGGTCATCGTGGACAGGCTTGTCGAGCCAAAGTCCACAGCCTGCGCCGAATTCGATGTGTTACGATGCGCGGCACTTTCCGCCTTGAGGGGCAATTTTTCCTGTTATTCCAAGCCTGCCGGTATTCGCACATCACGGCTTGTACTTTGTCGCCGCTTCCTTGAACTGAGCCTGAGATGGGGAGATTGGAAAATTGATGTAGAAGGATTTCAAGCAGGACAGCAGCAAAAAGGCCTCGAGCTGCCCAAGGATGTTCTTGAAGGACTTGCGATCGATCTTAGTGGTGTGGCATGGGGTGGCGTGGCATCAGCAGTCCAGTCGAGTCCGGCTGGATGGACAGAGGACAGCAAAGACAAAGCAGATGGTCCCTGGAGTTTGTTTAAGGCCCCCACCTTGCAGATCTTGGAGTCTGTCTTTGCCGAGACGGTTGCTGCGCGGGGCTCATTCTTCAGCAACGCCAGTTCCCCGAAGTAGTCACCTCATGAAGCGCAGCCCCGGTCATGGCTGCGTGCATCGCCCACCAAAGCATGCTGAGGCCAGCCGCCGCGCTTGTAGTGATGCACTTCCTCATGAAGCTCAGAGAAGACCAGTCGTTCATGGCTCAGGCCCATGATGGACGGTGTCCTCCTGGCTGCCACCTTCCCGCGTCTTCGTGGCCACCAGGTCGCCCTCCTCGCAGGAACCGTTTTTCGCGTCTCCGCTCGTGTCTCTTTTCTCTCCTCTTTTACGGGGCGCCTCCACGAGGTAGAAGGTGTCTCCCGGATCGCCCTGCTTCAGGATCGTCTCCCCTTCCGCCAGGGTCCTAATCGCGACGGCCGAAGGGACGGCCGAAGAAAGAAGGGACCCTGGGTCGCCGAGGGACTGTTGCTGAAGGCAGTCGGCAAGCTGCATCAGATCATAGCTCTCCAGCGGCTTGAACAAGGGCACGGTCTTCAGGAAGTCCTCAAAGAAAATTCCAGAGCCGCAAGAGCCGCCCATGGATCTAAGGGCGGATGCTTGGCGAGGAACCATGAAGTTATCGCGCCGCTTGGCGGACGCATCTCGAACGATGTGGCCTGGAGAGCACTGAAAAAACTCACTGAACCGACTCGCGGGGTCCGAGTCCAAGAGGGCTCTGAGGAAAGGTCTGAAGGTCTCGCGATCGAGCTGCCACACCTGAGCCAAGAAGCCCCCAGTCCGGAGCCGGGCCGGCAAGGGCTCTCTTAAGTCTGTGCTTTTCTCTCGTTAATTGTACCGAGCGACCACCGCTTCTTCGGTGGCTTCCACCGACGCAGCCCGAGGACAGTTGTAAAGCCTGCACCGGCAGCATGTCTCTGGCCAAGACAGGCTCTCCGCTTAAATCCTTCGCCGAGGGACAACGCCAGCTCACCAAAGACGTCGCCCTGACCGCACCTCGTCGATTCAAGGCGCTGACATGCGCTGACGGAACAGACTGCGATGCCCAGAGCCCCGTCCGAGGGCTTGGCTTCTTCACGACCTGCGCAGTGCAAAGGCGGGGCCCAACAGACTTAAGGCCCTCAGTCCCTTGAGAGCTGTTGGCCTTGTCCGAGCCATCGATCTTCCTTGGCTCATTGCTCTCTGCTCATTGCTCGCTGCGCTCTTCTTGCTCTAAGATCCTATAAGCGAAGTTTCAGCCGAGGGGCTTGATGCAATCAAAGGCCCCTGACTCGATCAGGAACATCACGTCTCCATCATCTCCCTCCTGCCGAGACCAGACCACACGAGGAGAGCGGCAAGTTGCACAAGCGAGTAGCTTCGCCTGAATGATGCGCTCACCAGCAGGGATCTTCTTTTCCAAGAAGGCACCGAGGATGACTTTCAGGTCATCCTGTCAAGATCCGGCCAGCACCAAAGCGGGTCATCAGAACTGCATATAACTCCGGGCTCCGGCCTTGCTCAGCGCGTTGAAGAGGAAGCTCTTCGACAGAACGGCGTTGATACGCTCCTCCTGCGGTGGGGCGGTGCGGCTTTTCTGCTGGTGTTTGGAAGGGGCTGTAAAGCCTTAGCCTAGGGCCGAGTAATGCCTAGTCAGCACCTAAGCCCAAGCACCCGACCTGCTCAGTCGACTTCTCGTAAACCGGTGGCTCGAAGGCCTTCTTCTGGTTGAACGCACCGTAGGCCTCTGCGGACACAGATCCTGCCAGTGACACGGATGGGCCGGTTATATGCATGCAGCGCACAAAGGGTTGCGCTGGCTCGCCTCGCTGTCCCTTCTTCATGTACGCGGTCGGTGGCTTCCAATCATCCTCCACATCGTCTTCGTCATCATCTCCGAAATCGTCCTGCAATCATGTGCACCAGGAACATGAAACGATCAAAGAGCTATAGGCTAGGCGGATTGGTGTGCTGCGAAAGACAGGCACTTGACTCAGCCCCGCCTCCTCCTCCTCACTGTCATCTGGGTTCTGCTTTCCGCCCTCTTCTTTTTCCTCCTTCTCCTCCTCCTCTTCCGCTCCTTCCTCTTTTCCGCCGGCACCTTCCTGCTTCTCTTGCTTCTGAGTCTCCCCTGGGGAATCCGCCGGTGCCGCAGCAACAGCCTCCGTTTCTCCCTTCGGCTGTGGCTTCTCTTCCTGGGCATCCAGAGAACTCGAGACTGACCTTCACCTTTCATGCCGAATACAGGCACCTTCTCTTCACCCTTGGCTTTCGCGTCGCCCACCTTGTCCGAGAGGGCTTTAATCTCGTCCTGAAAGCAGCATGCCAGCAAGAGATTATGTGGCCTGGCAATCGCAGGGGTACCTGAAGTTCACGAATTTCGTTGCGCAGACGTTCTGCTTCGCCAACTCCGAGCGAGTACAAGGAGTCCTTGTCAGCAGCATAAACCGTCACACGTAAGAGTCCGAGGGCTGTCTGTAGAGAAGCATAGACAAACATGTAACATGTCAATCAAGAGCCATCGTGGGAAGAGGGCTGCAAAGTAGCTGTCGCACAGGTGTTGGCAGCTGCTGCCATATTTCGGAAAGTTCAGGGAACGGGAGTAAGCTTGGCTCTCGTACTCAATGGACAAGGGAGATTGTCCTCATGCTTAGGGGCACAGGTCTCCGATGATATACATGCAGTTGCAGATGTTGCAGTTGCACCCAACATACAGAGAAAGTTGCACATCCCGCGCAAGTCGTGGCATGCCTTCACTTGTTTAGGGCCCACCTTAGGACGCCCGGAGTTCGTACAATGTTTAGAACGCTTACTGCGCAGGGTGGCGAGCCATCGGCAAAAAACCGGCAACTCCAACTCCAAGACATGTCAAAGGCCCCCCGTCGTCACCCCGTCACGTCCTTGCCAGCCTTGGAGCGCTCCTGAGGCTTCAGCAGTACTTCAGGAGTGCTCTCAGACACTCTTCGTATGGGCTCTAGCCGGAAGTGCAGCCATGTTGCAGCGAGCCATCGAACCATGAAAGGCACCTGGGCTTGCGGGGGACATTGAAACCTAAAACTTCGTGGGGGGAGGCACAGGCTTTTCTTTAACTGAGCTTCGGGATTCTCCGGGCGCTCCAGCAAGACCTCCGTCACGAGGCTTTCGAGGATCGGATTCACCTTGCCTCAGCTCGGAGAGTGTGACAGACGTGAAGCATCAAGCACTCAGAGATGTCATAGGATGCTCTTTGTGAAGAGCATCACACAAAGGATAAAAGAAGTAGCAGCACGGATGGTGCGACGTGGGGGCCTGCTGGAAAAGTGCATCAAGTGGCTTTGAATGTACTCAGTGTGCTCCTGCGACATATTTCGGAGACGGCAAAGGCCGGAAGATTCAACGAAGGCCAAAAGAGCGGGCACCAGCCTGCTCGTACCCTCGAGCCGAGACGCCCATGAAAGCATCGCGCGTATCGAGTACCAGCACTGGATGTGTGAGTGTTTCATGTTGAAAGGCAGCTGTGGATTAGGGCCCTATAGGGGCCTTTGCCTCAAGATGATGGCATCTCCATCCTACATGCAGCTTACATGCACGTTTCCTCTGACACCCCGATAAAGGAGACTCACGCGGCCAAAACTGCCTCGCCCTCTGCCACCTTCTCCTGCTTGCCTTTGCAAATTCACGACTTCGCAGCCAAGGCGAGATGATTTGCGAAGGAAACTGGCGCTCCGGCCTTTCGGCTTCTGGGGCGAGTCCTTGGCTGAGGAAGCCGCAGAGGCATCAGCGCCTCGAGGGTGCAGGGACTGCCACAGGGGGGGGGGGAGAGCAAAGGGTAGGAGCCCATAAAGGGGGAAATGCGCGCCTTGGGGAGCGGTGGCCACACCCGCACCGCCAGCACAGGGACAGCCCCAAGCGGACCTCGAAAAAGCGGAAACGCGGCAAAGGAGCTGCTCCCCCTGCTGCGGCCTGGCTCTTGGGCGCTGACCCGGTGACGCCCCAGCCGGGCGCCACCGCGGCTGCGGGCGCGGGCCAGCCCCAGGCCGGAGCCTCGTCGAAGAAGGGGAGCAAAGGACTCTAGAGACATCCTTACGGCAAAGATCGGCAAAGGCACCGGAGGTCTTTGCCAGCCGTAGGACGGCGCTGGATGCCACATTCCGGGCGGCAGCTCCTCAGAAGCTCCAGAAACTGGGTCTCCCATCAGCACAGCACCAGCACAACATGGCACAGCCTGGCCTGCGACTTGGTATTGCCGGTGCTCTTGCCTTGCAAGTGCGACCCTCACAGAACAAAACCGAGGTAGACTGGTGCTGGCTCAGCTGGCTCAGCCCACCTGGCTTGGCCTTCTCGGCCTCCTTCTTGGCCGCGGCTGCCGCGGCCGCGGCCTCCTCCTTGGCCTTCTCTTTCGCCTTCTCCTCGGCCTCTTTCGCCTGCTTGGCTCTGCAAGCCTGGAGCTGGCCCAAGAAGGCCTGAGACGCGTTTAGACGGCGGCACGCGGCATCCGCGTGGACCCTCACCGCCCTCACCCTCACTCTGCTGCCAAGCCTTCTGCAGCTGCTCCTTGACTTGGGGAAGCTCTGCCTCTGCACAATCGCTGGAAAAGTGCAGCTGCTTCGCCTCGGCGCAAAGAGATGCAAAGCAAAAAGAGATGCAAGGCGACGGTGACGCCGTATACGCTGGCGCCTGCGGCTTCGGCGCCTTCGGGCCCAGTCCCACGGCCGCCCGGCCCTCCCCAAGCAGCCAAAGGCTCTGAACCTGAGCGCGTTTAGAAGATCTCAGAAGTTTCTTTGGGGAGAGATATGTCCCCAAAGAGACTTTTTTTTGTGCCTTGGCAGCTTTGGCGACGGACTGCAAGAAGCTCTGGTCGATGCTGCCCAGCAGGGCCGTGCCCATGCCTCGCAAGAGGCGCTTTTGCCAAAAAGTGCCGACAAATCTGTTCGATTCCGTGGGCTCCACCGTCGCCAGGCGCCTGAAGCCTCTCGCTCTGGGACCTCGTGTTGTGCCATCTGCGGTCTTCTGGGCCCCCTTTGCAAAACAGCTGATCTCAGCTGCGGGGCCAGGAGGCGATCACGTCCCCCTCTTCGGCATCCTCTGGCGTCGAGTTGGCCTCTCACGGGGTCCACGTCTCTGTCCACTCCCTTCCTTTCCTTGCAAGTGTGCCTCGAGGCAGTCTTGTGCTTGCTTGTTCGAGGAGAAGCGCACATAGCCCTGCGAGCCGAGATCGAGAAGCAGAAGACTTCGCCTTCTCGTTGCACTTGCCACGGCGCCTGCCCTGTCGGCTGGCCATCTTCTGAGCGGAGCAAGTAGAGGTCCTGGCAGAGCAGGATGTTGGGCAGCAGCAACTTGCGACCTAAGGCGACCTTCACGTCTCCGAAGCCACTGAGCCACTCCATGATGTCATCCTGGCAGGGCGCTGCTCCAAAGCAACAGGCGGAAGAGGCAACACCCCAGGAAAACCAAGTCTCGGCTCGGACCTCCAGGCAGTCTGCGACGGGCAAGTTGCGCATGTAGAGCTGGGGCCGGCGGGCATTCGGAGAGATGAGACGCCTTTTCGAACACCGCAGCTCACTGCCTCGCAGTCCGTGGCATTGGGCGGCAGCTCCAAGGCGAGCTCATCCACAAACACCTGCAGCGGCCTCGGTGCCAAAGCGCTGTTCCGGCTTTCCGGCGATTGCCAATTGGCGACTGCCGCTTCGTGAAAGACGCACATGCCACTGTAGTGGTCGAAACGATGCACAGCGACTGGAAGCCTTAAATTTTTCTAAATTGACTACGGTACCCGCCCACTCGGCTGGCCTTGCATCGGCCACCCCTGCGAGGTCGAGGGAACGGAACGCGCGCAGCAGGACGAGCAGCAAAGCGCAGGAAAGGTCTTCGGGGTGCCTTGAAGCTCGCAGGTGAGAGTGCACTCCTCCATCAGCTCGCCATCTCCAACCTCTGTCACAATGTGAACTTTGCTTTCAGACAAAAACTGTTGTCGGAGATCAACCCAATGGGCCTGCGTGTTGTTGAGCTGTTCGACAGCCTCGACAGGTCACTGTGGCCAAGCCGCGGTCCCATGTATTTTGCACTTATACCACGCCACAGCGCAATAAACTGGCTGTGAGGATTGAAGTTTTTCGTAGGACCGAGAAGTTATCTCTTCTTGTGAGTCATGGGAAGCGCTCCAAGTAGGCCATCTGCTCCACATGACAACAAAAGCCTCCCGCTCGCAGTGCTGAGAACAGCGACAGAAAGCATCGCGCAAGGAGCCCAGCGCCGAGGAGGGAGGCGCCCGCCTTGGCCATCTTCTCGGGCGTCTTCAGCTGCACCCGGGCGAAGCGGCCACCTTTCGACTCCTCGCCATTCTCCCAAGGTCTCTCCGGTAAACATCCCCTTTGAACAGAGGGAGGACCTCCACGAGCTGCAAGGCCGCCACACCACCGAAGACTGTGAAGATCAGCTTCACCTGCAGACATCAGCTCGGGAGCACCGAAGGGCACCGAAGATCACTCTGCACGTTGCCTGCTGCTCGGTCCAGCTCCCTGCAATCCCGCGCACCACGATCTGAGCGGTTGGCACGGGACAGTCTACTCTGCATCTGCATGTATGTGACGCCGACAGTGCAGTAGGGATGCATGTTCAAACGAAACATTGAGAAACTCGATCAATCTGAACGTATGCATACACAGTATTTCTACATATATATATATATATACATACATAAAATTATATTTATATATATATATAGAGAGAGAGAGACAGAGAGAGAGTTTGGGTCAAGCCTTCCGACAGATGAAAGTGAACTTCGGACTTAGGCCCTGAACGCATGGGGAGAGTGGCGCCACCGGGGCAGCTGGAGCGGCTGGCGCGGGAGCGGGGGCGGGAACGGCTGCTGTTGCGGCAGTGCCGCGTGCTGGCACTGCTGCTGGCCGCACTGAGGGGCCGCTGGCCCGAATTCTCCCGCTTCCCGAAGTTGGCGGTGAATAAACGGTCTGCGGTCGGCCCGCCATTGATGTCGGAGTCGGGCCTGCCGACGGTCCTGCCGACGGACCCGCGGACGGGCCGGTGGAAGGACCCGTGGGCCGTGGCGGTCGGGGCCGAGGAGCTGGCGCGCCCGCAGTGCCCGCAGGGCGCAATCCTGGCTGTGGCGGAGGGCCTGCGGGCTGTGGGGGTGCTTTGGGAGCTTGCACCGCCTGCCCTGGCGTCTGCGCCTGGCTCGAAGCAGGCTCCAAGCGACGGCAAGTGAAAAGACGCAGCAATGCTCGCTGCCTTCTTGATGGGATGGCTGGTCGCTTGGGTGAGGATGGCCTTCAACTTCTGCTTGAGGAGATCCTGCAGCTTCATGAGGGTCCTGCGAACATGAGAAAGCTCCTGCGGGTCCTTCGAGATGATCGTTCGGGCCACGATGTACAAGGCTTGCCTCACGCAAAAGAAACTAAGCCCAATTCCGCGCAAGGCTCCAAAAACTCGGGGAGCAGACGTGTAGGGTTTCCGGCCCAGGAGTTCGACCACCTCTGCTGAGGTCGAAGGCCAGCTGTCCTGCATTGACTGCCGATCACAGGGGCCACATCACTCTCGATGTCGACAAAGCGGTCCCCACCAATCAGGAGCTTGTCGCACTTGAGGTTCTCTTGCATCGCCCTCAAGCATGCATGCTGCAATGCTAGACTGGTCAGTGGTCAGTTCGTGCCTTCCGTCATGTCAAGCCGGGCCTCAATCTGTTTGCCAGAGAAATGATGGTGTCTCCTCTGAACGGTCCTCCAGATCAAAGTGTCCATTCCTACCAACCAACGGCACGGCAACAAAATCAAGCACCATGTCGGGCAAGGGGGAAGGACGTCAGCGGGTGCCTTGTGCCTTCTGCACCATCTTCTCCGACAGTGACCTGGGTTTCAACCAAGACCGGGGGCCTCTGAGAACGGGTCGTCGTCTCTTCAAAACAAAGTCTCGGGTTTCGGGCCACGAGCCCTTGATATCGATGAACTCACCGTCCTCTTCGGCCAATGTGTCCACCAAGGACACAGCCTCAGGGATCTCTCTCGCTGTCGCATGGTGAAGGTCTTGGGAGTTCCGAGCGCATGACATGTTCATGGGCCGTGAAGGTGACATAGGCATGCCCTCGTCAGATCCGAAGCATCCGGGCAGAAGCTGCGAAGGGTCCCTGCCTGTGCACTCGAGGTTCCCATCCTGCCAGAACTCGTCCCCAACACGACAGGAAACAACTCAAACAACAAGGGCCTTGAGAAGGCCGAAGTTCTGAATCTCCCCAAAGTCTTTCCTCGCCGCTCTGTCACAGCAGTCGCTCCGAGGCTTTCCGAAGGAGGCGTGCTGGGCGCCCCGGCAGCCACCCCCGGAGCGCATCCTCATCATACTCCTGGACGGAGGGACAGAGGTCAGTCTACCCCGCCCGGCCCCGCCCCACAATTGCACATGTCTCCTGCAAAGGCAGCTCGCTGAGAAAGACCTGCCGGTCCATGTTGCCTCAGAGCTCGCGGCAGCCAGACAAGCGGAGGACCGTAGCAGGTGCCGTTAGCTCGCGGCTGGCCGCATGGTTGCACGTCAAGAGCTCGTCAACATAGAACTCGCCAGGGCGTCAGGCACAGCGTCATGCTGCAACACATGCAACGCCAGAAATCCTTCGAGAAAGAGTGCAGTCAACTTCAGGAGCCTGGTAAACCTGGTACTCGGAGGGCGTCGGGTCCTGGCACGGCTCTGGCTTCTAGTATGACAATCCGCTGTACCGTCTGCAGCAAGAGCATCCTGCACGGGCACCCTGTAGCATCGTAGAGGCTGCTCCCCCTGCAGGCACGTTACACTCTACACTCCATACCCGCGATGCATCCCACAGTGAATGTCTCGCAGCGCAGCCTGTGCCCACATCATGCCGTCCAGCTCCCGAGCCCTGCATTCAAGCACATCGGGGCAATGTGTTCCAAGGCGAAACACGACTTGGGACCGGGCGCGTGGGCCGCCGAGGCCTCTTCCAGGAACTCCACGTCGAAGGTGCCCCTGAAACGCGTCGCGCTTCAGCATGAAGAATGTAGCGAGACTCCGGCCGACCCCTCGCCCCCCCCCCCCCAGTTCCAGGTACATTAGGCGAGCCTCAAAACCGCCCATAACTGGCCCATAACCGAGGCATCAACCGACTCAGTGACTGGGGTCGCAACGCTTCGGCTTCGGGCTCATGCAACTTTTGGATCGGGCCGAAGCTCACCAAGTACTCCTCGTGGCTATGAGAATCCGCTTTTTGTGGCTTGGAGCACAGCCATCAGAGCCCTCCTGAAATCATCGAAAAACCCAAACCTGCGCCCAAAAAGGCCGAAGCTGCCCTCAAACTGTGGGGGCGTCAGTCCTCTACCTCTTGCAGACCCCATCCTTCACCAGTGGGCGTGAAGCGCACACGCCGCCCTCCACCAGCGTGCCTAAATGGCACACGAATCACTTTCAAGACTAAACGGACTTCTCCAGACTCTCGAAGACGATGGCTTTCCCAGCACTGCAGCATGGGAGTGCAAGCCGCTCCTGCCACGGCCGGAGGCTGATGCTGGTGCGGGCTCCTTGCGACGGAGGCCGGGTTCAGAACGTCAAGTGCCGCACAGGGCGAGCACCCGCCTCCGAAGCTGCCGCGGCGGATGCAGCGGGCACTGCAGCCGGCACTGCAGCGGGCGCGGCGGGCCGGGAAGCGCCGCCTGCTTTCAGAAGGCGGCTCAAGGCGTGTTTCTGGGAAAAGCTGACCACCTGGGCGGTAGGCAGGCCGCGCTGGCCGAGCTGTTCCCCCACCTGGGCCGTTGAGTCCACAGAAACGTGCAGCGTGGAAAAACCAGGCCGTGTTGGGGGCCCGGGCCTCCGCCGCGTGCCGGAGGCACTTGGACGGGTCGGGGGACACCTGGGCGGGTGGTGCCAGCGCCCGCGGCGCCCGCGGCGCCCCCGGCAGGTCGAACTGACAAACGACCGGGGGCCAACTGCGGACCTTTCAGCCGAACAACAACAGGCATACTACGTGGAAGCGGCATGTCGTTTGCACCTTTAGGAGGAACACGAACGGAGGGGCGAACCACCTGCGGCCGACCGCCTCGACAGCAAGGACCAGTTTTGGATTGCTTTCTGGGGTGTCGGAGGATAGCTTGGACTGCGTTTGCAGGTCGGTTCCGGAAGCTTGACTTTCCAGGTTGGCCTGGGAGCATTCTCAGCTGCACTGCTGTGCAGTGCTTGACACCCTAGTAAATATCCATCTTGGCCCTGCAGCATCCAACTCTCCGTGATCAAGGCCGAACCGAATGGAAACACCGAGTCTACGCTGGAAAAACGTGTGGAGCTGTGGGTCCACATGCTGTTGTTCTGGCGAGCCTCTGGGCGAGCCGTGGATGGTCATGTCGAGCCGCTACACTTCCCCCCATCGACGAGGTCATGCAGCCCCTCACGAACCGTCAGCATGCACCATCCCATGCGAATTGACCACTTCTGCTTTGTCGCCTTTCGGCAAGGAAACCTTTACCATGACTTCTGACAGTGCTACTCTGCGACACCGACCCTCAAATGGCTGTCGGGCCACGGGGCGGACGCAACACACTGCAGCGATCAGGGCACAGTACACCAACACTCTTCCGCTCAGGACTACCGTGAATTACCCCACAATGACAAGCTACATCCCATGCGATGAGCCTAGGGCGGGTGAATGTTTTGTCGGAGCTTTTTGAGATCCTGCGGCGGTTCGGCAGCTCACCGCACCTGACCGATCTCACTATGAAAGCCATGCACGGCACCGCGCCGAAACGTGCCGCCAGGATGCAGCGCTGCAGGCCTCGACCTCATGCCAGAGACCAGAGGCCATCAGAGGCCGAGGCTTTCCGAGGCCTCTTCTCTCAGTTCCCTCTTCCCGTGCGTCTACGACGGTGGTGCGTTTTTTTGAGGCCGCGGCGCAGGTGTCCGGAAGGCAGCGGACGGCACTCGGCCGGCAGGTGCTGCTCAGCACGTCCACGGCGCAGTGCACGAGCCTATGGCAGCATGGCAGCTCGCGGCTGGGCAGTAGTTTACCTTTCGCTGTCGCTCGTAGGCCGCCCGACAGCCCACTCCGGTTCTCGAGCTTGCTGCCGCAGGCGCCTCGGACAAAAAGCACAACGGCACAGCCTCGCTGAATCTCGCCGAAGTCTGAGCTGAGATGCTGAGCTGGCCGTTGAAGTCCTCGCAGGCCCCATCTGCGATGGCCAGCTTGTTCGAGCAGTCCGCGCGGTCCTCGAGAAGTGCATGGAAACACGAAGCTTGCAGCAGCGCGGAAAGTGCATGGCAAAGAAACAGTCCTGGAGGCTCCAAATGTCGCCCAGATGGTTTGGCCACAGGCCTTTTAAAGGATCCTGGGCGGGGCGGCGTGATGTGGGACGTGGCTCAGACCGCATGCGTCAGTGTCCCCTGCCTGGTCAAGGCAACAGAGGGCGTCGTACTGGCTGGCTTGGGTTGAGGCGTCTCCACAAGTCCAATTCTTTTTGGCTGCTTCCAGGGTGCAGCCTTTGGCACCCCAAGCGACCCAGGTCGATCCAAGTCCCAAATTGGCAACGAAGGATTCCGCTTCCGCTTGGGCACAGAGGTGGCTGCGGTAGGCCGTGCACGTCGCCTCGGCCTGGCTGAAGTTTTGGACGTTCATGTTGCCCGCCGTCCTGACGGAGACATCAGCCTGGCCAAAGGAATCAGAAGAAAGCACTTCCCACTTTCAAGCAGAGGGCCCAGGCCATATCCACACAGCACAGGGAGTTGAACTTCTTGTCCTCCGAGGATTTGACGAAGAGCATCGGAGTACGAAACAAGACTCGCTTCGGCCCAAGTGCCCCAAAAGTCACAAGTCACGCCCCGTTTTCCCGGCCCAGGCGCCCCAAAAGTCACAAGTCACGGCCCTCCCGCTCGGCCCCGAAACCCAAAAGTCACGCCTCAATCCCCCGGCCCCGAAACCCAAAAGCTCCGTTTTCCCGACCCGCCCCCCAAAAGTCACGCCTCAATCCCCCGGCCCACCCCCCCAAAAGTCACAAGTCACGCACTGCTCCTGTCCTTCTGATATCCGCAGGCCCAATTCGGGCCCTCCGCATTGGCTTCCGTCCTCCTCCCGTTGTGGATGCAGCCGGCTTCGCTAAAGTTGCGCTCGTCCAGCCAGGCACGGAATCCATAAGCACCGCCTGGGGATGCTCTATCCATGATCTAGTGAATCTAGTGGGGACTGTGACAGCACGTGGAGACGGAGGAGACTCTTCTCTGAGCCTTTTGCTGCGTGCCGAGTCACTGGCTTTCAGCATGTACTCCTTCCAATCCCGTTCGACTTCATCTTTGAAGCAAAGATGCCAGGAGTCGCCGTTCTTTTCCAAGGACTGGCAGGACTCCTGTGCTTGCTCGTACGTCCTCAGCAGACGGCAAAACAAGTTGAGAAGCGCCAGGCCAGGCCGAGCCGAGACTCTGAGAATCCTCATCCTCCGTAGTGACTAAAACCATCCTGGCCTCAGAGGACACGCTAGGATGGTTCGCTAGCTCAAAAAATCGCAAGCGCGAAGTCAAATTCAAAGCACCCGGCCAACTCGCCGGCGGGTATGGCCTATCGATGGAAGACCCTTGGGTGATTTTATGTCAGAGTTTATAAGAAATTATACCATAAGTCATAAGACTTTACTTTTCTCCCAAAAACCTATCTGCAACACTCGCGAAAATAGTCTAACAAACACACTCCAAAACAGGTCATCCCAACATACCGATAACTTCTTCTAAGTTGCCGCAATAACGCCAAAACACATGTCAGAAAAAAACACGCAAGGAAAAATTGAAAATTTGAAAAAAAAGTCACCAAGCACCACAGAGAAACCATGAAAATTACACTCAACTGGCTCAACACTGTCGAAACTATTGCCAACGCACCGGATGCCACCACAAGAACTAATTCGCATGAAATGGAATGTTCACGTACGTTTCTGCTTGTTTCCGTATGCTGTTTCCGGCGGCGACTCATCTTTGCCTAAAAGAGAGAGAGAGAGAGAGAGGCACTTCTCGGGCTGCCCTGCCTCCTTCGGCTCTTCCTCGCCTTCATCTTTCACTTTGGGCATGCCCTCTGCCCCCTCTGCTTCCTGTGAGACAGCCGACGTGCACTTCTCTCGGCTTGTCGGCCCCGACCCGCCCGGGCCTCCGTGTCGCCTTCCAAGGCTGATCCTGCGGACACGGTGCCTTCAAAGCGAAACGAAAAGGGTAGAGTCAGAGACAGGCGGAGCCACCGAAGCGGAGACTCTGAGCCTGCATAGGCCCACGCCTGCATCGGGGACGGGACCCTTTTTGCTGCAGAGAAGCGTCACGAGCGCGGCATCGCCTGTTGGAAGCAGAGAAGTGCGGCAACCAAGACCCTGTACCTGGGCGTCAAGTGCACATATCACCTGCAACGACCATCGCACCGAGCGCCCAGCATGGGGTGGCTTCGGCCGCAGCGTCTGCGTGGCTTCACCCCGGACCCCACATCACTTCCAAGAATTTCGCCAACAAATCTTCTCAGCTTGAGCCATCCAGCCATCATGAATATTCTGGGCATTCCGACTCTGCCAAGCTACCTTTTCACACCCTCACATTTCTGTCCGTGCGTTTATTCAGTAAAATCCGGGCAACTCAGAAAACACTCTCAGAAAAGTGCACGGAGAGCTTGGGCGCTTTTCGTGTCACGGCTGGAGCGGCTCCGAGTGCGCCTGAACTGCTCGAAGGACCAGCTCCTGGTGTCCAGGACGGGCAACTCTTGAAAAAAGGCTCTCCAGGCCCGGTAGGCCTCGATGCGATGAGCGAGGGACACTTCGGGAAATTGCCTTGGGCAGACCGGCCCCCCGCCGAAAAAACATGCCAGATCTCCGAAAGACAAAGTACTGCCGCGCTGCCTCGTGCAGCCTGATGCCACGAGCTCACGCACGGGCTTCACCAAGCGAGAGGTCGAACAAATGAAGCAACCTCGGCAAGGCATCCCTGACGGTGGAAAAACTGCACCGGGAACTGGGAGGAAGGCTCTCCCAAAGCTCTGCCTCCACGATTCGGGGACACTCCAACCTGCCCCGCCAAACACGACGCGCTCCGCCGCTCTGCTCCGTCGCTCTGCGTGCGGCGCTTGCGCCTGATGGTGAGGCCCTGCTCGCGCGCCACCTCCAGCACCACCTGGCAAAACCCGGGCGGAGTTCGAAAAACGCCGAGCCGACAGGGAGCCGCGAGAGAGGCGGGGGCGCCTTGCGCACGGTGCCCGCGAGCACTCGCTCCTCGGGAGCCGTCTGCCTTTTCAGACATGCGGTGCGCGGCAGCCATCGGCAGCCCGAAGCAGCCTCAAGTGCCATCGAGTTGCAGGCTGCCGTCGGCCAGCGCAGCGAAGAAGTTGGTCTGCAAGCCTGCAAGCGGCGAAGACAAGGCCAAAAAGCGCGCTCGCCTTTCCGCCTTCCGTGATCTCGCCGCTGCCGTCGTACATCAGCACCTCGAAAGGGAAGGCACAGAGGCGGCCGGGGCGCAGGGAGGCGCAGGCGCAGCGGGCCCCGCGGGCCTCGTTCACGGCCTCTTCCCTCTGAAGCTCCTCCAAGCTCGCGCGATCCTCCAAGCAAGAGGACGGGAGAGGAGCGACAGCGACCCAGACCGAGACAGCTAGGTCATGCGACGACGAAAGCTTCGCGCGCTTCTGGGTGGACATCGAAGGAAGGAAGGAAGCGAACGCCTGCACCCACTGCACATCCTTGATGGTGGGATTCCTGAACCGCACAGACCAGACCCAGAACCCCACAGCACTTGACTCTGGGAGCGCGTGAACTCGCGGCCTCCTCTCCGCAGGATGCGCCGCGACTCTAACCATGGGTTCCTCGACGTAGCACAGAACAGAACACCAGAGTCCAGGAGTCGGCCCCAGGCCCGGGCCTGAGGGCGGAACAACGTAAGGTATCGGCTGCACGAAGGTAAAGACCTCAGAACCAGAACACGAGGTGACTCAGACTCCTCTTCCGCTTGCAGCTCGCAGCACTCGGAACGGCCTGTGCTCGGACACAGCCCAACAACTGCATCAAATCGTAAGTCTGAATGGTTTCGCTCTCAGTCTGAGTTTAGGTCCCCCCCGGACTCACCTTTGATCTTGTCTGCCCGACAACCCTGGGTCCACTCCCTGCTCCTTTGTGGAAAAACTTGAGGCGCTCAAGCCCAAACAACACACTTGACCATTCGCACAAGCCAGCCGCTCAGCACGGAGAAAACAGAAAGAGTGCATCCTCAACCTCCGTAGCCTACAACCGAAGCTGAGGCAGGTACGTCAAAACCTCTTTGAGGCGTGTGATCTCCCACTGTGTCACACGTCAGAAGCATCGTGACCTCATCGTCTGCAAGTGACCATGTACAGCTGCAACAGGTTCAGACGGGAAGGTTCGGATACTGAGATGCGGAGAACTTTCGAGTGACAGTCCTACAAGGTCTCAACTTGTCACCGAAAGTTCTGATTTACCTGGTGGTGACGAGACATTCCTCTGGAACGCGCTTAGGCTGTCGCCTGGTATTCCATCAACGGCTGCTGGTTTTGGCTGTCCTGTGAGATGGGATCGTGTAACTGCCAACTCATAAAAAAGGAATCCGCAGAACGTGCGGATCTCCAGATATCTCAGGGCCGCCAGGCACTCGCGCACCAGCTCAGGCCGCAGGGCCTTGGCACGTTTTTCCGGGGGACGCCAAGACGCGCATATGCGTGCGCGCGCGTGCGAGCGGCGCGCGCATCTCCTTTGCGTTCATTGCCTGCACGCCACCCTCGAGGAATTTCAGGGCCTTCGCCGGTGCCTGCCGCAAATTGCAATTCGTTGGCTGCCTCTCCTGCTTCTTCTTCCTTGTCCCGCCTCGGGCACCTCCGGCAGCTCGCTTGCGCGACGGAGGACCTAATAGAAACAGGATGGCTACTCATGCCAGAACGAGCAGAAAATGTAGGCACCAAGAACCGCCGATCTGAGCTCGAAGGCGGCCGTAGCAGTCTCCAGCATCCGTTGGAGATGCATCGAGAATTCGAAGATGGCACGTCTGCCAACAGTCCGAGCCTGCAGAGTCCATGCAAATCTGCCGCGCCTTTCCACGGTCCCGAAATCAACTAAGTAGCGGACTGTCGTGTATGCACCGTGATAGTCATCTCAGACAGCGATCGATCGCATGCGTTCCTCCTGGGCCCTGCAACGCCGGACTCGGAAGCATGTGGATTGAGGCAGCGACGCAACAGCTGATGTTTTGTCCTCGGTGTGGCGGGCCCGTTGCAATGCGAGTGGTGAAACTGCACCTTTTGGTTCAACTTCTTTTGAGGATCTGGCAACCAGGGGGCGCAGGCATCGGCATTCCGGACTAGGACCTCAACCCGGGAGCCATCGACGCCAGTCCGCAGTTTGCACGCAGACTACACCACCTCTTGACGTGCCCCTTAGGCAACCCCAAGCCTGAACGCAAAGCATTCGACGACACAAGCTCTGCGAGTGCTGGGGCAGATGCTGTGTCGATGGGATCGGCCGAAGCAGACATCCCCGCAGAGTTGCAGCGTTGTGGGCTCTGTGCTCAACGTTGCAAGGTGCGACTGTTCCAAACTTATGCTTTAAGGTTGCGGCTCGTTGCCGGTGCTAAAGCAGAAGCGGTCGGAATTTGTGCTGTGAGTCAATGCTGCGATGAAGCATCTTTGCCACGAAACATCCAATAGAAACCAATATTGACATGTGACGTCTCCCCTCATGTTGTGGAAATCCCTGATATGGTAGCGATTCAAGCACAACGAAAGGTGCCTTGCACGGCTACTGCTTTCAGTAACCTGCACTATGGAAGCATACAAAAAGTGCCCCGCAAGGACACATGTTTTTGCTCACTGTGTAGGTCCTCCATAATGCACCGTCTCCGACCGGATATAAAGACGCAAACGCAACTCTTCCACATATCCAGAACAGCTTTGCCAGACAAGGCATATACTCGGGACAGTTATCTCCAGACATAAAATAAAGTTAAATAAAGCAACCACCACTCCAGGCATACTTGCGATAAGAACAGTTGGACACGTTCTGCCAACCCTCCCGGACCGGAGAAACAACATCACCCCACTTGTACTTCCAGTGGCCGTTGTGAATAAATCGTTCCTTCCATAATGGATGCAATTGCCACGATGATAACCAGCTGAGTGCAGTTTTGCAAAGTTCGAACAGTCCGCAACAAGCAAGCAATATTCGCATGAAAGAATCAATATTGACATGAAAGAACCAAGGTCAAATATTGCTTTGAACATGTCGGCTACGGGGCCCAGTTCTTGAGCGGAGTGGGCCTGGCAGCACCATCCTCCAAGCCTAGAACGCTGAGTTAATGCTGTAAACGTCTTTCACATTTGGTACGGGCCGGCGGCTTGGCTGCCGATTGTAAACCATTCACACCCGACTCCGAATATGCAAAGCAACACCCACTTTGCATGTCCAGACGTCTCAGAACATGTTTAATGGCAACCACATGGTTTCGACCAGAAGCGGCAGATCCATCCGACAGAGCATAGGTTCAATAATTACACCAGCGAAGACCCCAAACAGATTGCATCGAATCACGCCGGTTCAAATTAGGCAATATTTTTGCGCAGAAGAAGAAGAATGGGTTGTGATGACATCCGCACGGCGCACGGCAAGGAAGCGTTCCTTTTTTTGGAAAAAAGAACGGCCTGAAATGTCTTGTTTGTGGGCAGCGCTCACAGTTATGCAGAACATGCTTTTATTTTGCAGCTGTGGCACGGACCACACATTCGAAAACTTCCAGGGCCAGCATAATCGATCTCTCCGGTGGAAAAGCAGCTGATGGTTCAGCGAGAGAATCGTAGTCCAAAAGGCGGCTTGTGTTCTAGCATC